TTTGAACTTAGGTCCCCCTGACTTCAGGGCCAGTGCTCTATCCACTGTGCCATCTAGCTGCCCCACCAATTTGGTGTTTTTTTAATTGAAAATTGATGCAAAAAATTTAAATAAAATATTAGGAAGGAGATTACAGCAATTATAGTAGTACATCACAAAGATCACACACTATGACTAGGTAGAGTTTATACCAGGAATGCAGGGCTGCTTCAATATTAGAAAAACTATTAGTATAATTGCCTATATCAAAAACAACCAAAATCATATGATTATTTCAATAGATGCAGAAAAAGCTTTTTTAAAAAACAAAATAAAAACCCATTCCTGTTTAAAACACTAGAAAGCATAGGAATAAATGGAGCATTCCTTAAAATGATAAGTAGTATGTATCTAAAACCATTGTCGATCACTATCTATCATGGAGATAAATTAGAAGCCTTCCCAATTAGAGCAGGGCTAAAGCAAGGATGACTATTACCACTATTATTCAATATTGTACTAGAAATGCTAAGTACAGCAATAAGAGAAGAAAAAGAAATTGAAGGTATTAGAATAAGCAATGAGAAAACAAAACTATCACTCTTAGCAGACAAAATGATGGTAAAGAGAATCCTAGAGACTCAAATAAAAAACTAGTTGAAATAATTAAGCAATGTTGCAAGATATAAAATAAAGCCACATAAATCATCAGCATTTCTATATATTACTAATAAAGCCCAGCAAAAAGAGGTGGAAAGAGAAATTCCATTAAAAAAACTGCAGACAATATAAAATATTTGGAAGTCTACCTGCCAAGACAAATCAAGGAACTATATGAACACAATTGCAAAACATTTTTCACACAAATAAAGTCACATCTAAACAACTGGAGAAATATTAATTGCTCATAAGTAGGCCAAGCCAATATAATACAAATGACAATTCTACCTAAATTAATTTAGTTATTCAGTGCCATGCCATTTAAACTAACCAAAAATTATTTTATAGAGCTAGAAAAAATGACAAAATTACAGAAGAACAAAAAGTCAAGAATATCAAGGGCATCAATGAAAAGAAAAGTGAAGGAAGGTGGCAGTACCTAGCAGTACCAGATCTGAAACTGAAATTCTTTTTTTTTTGAGCAGTTGGGGTTAAGTGACTTGCCCAGGGTCACACAGCTAGTGTCAAGTGTTTGGTCTGAGGCCAGATTTGAACTCAGGTCCTCCTGACTTCACGGTCAGTGCTCTATCCAATGCGCCACCTAGCTGCCCCTGAAACTGAATTTCAAAGTGGTAATCATCAAAACAATGTGGCACTGGCCAAGAAATAGAGTGGTGGATCAGTGGAAGGTGCACTATACATAATAGTAAATGACAGTAATCTAGTATTTAATAAACCCAAAGATCTAAACTTTTGGGACAAGCACTCACTATTTGACAAAAATTTCTGAAAAAAACTGGAAAGCAGTTTGACAAAAACTAGGTATAGACCAACATCTCACACTGTATACCAAGATAAGGTCAAAATGAGTACATGATTTGGACATAAAGGGTGATATAAGCAAATTAGGAGAGCATGAAAATTTTACCTGTCAGATCTATGGATAAGGGAAGAATTTATGACCATACAAAAGATAGAGAACATTACAAAATGTAAAATAGATAGTTTTGATTACATTAAATTGAAAAGCTTTTGCATAAACAAAACCAAATACTTCTCGGATTAGAAGGAAAGCAGGAAACTAGGAAAACATTTTTACAGAAAGTTTCTGATAAAGGCCCCATTTCTCAAATCCATAGAAAACTGAGTCAAATTTAGAAGAAAAATCATTCCTCAACTGAAATATGGCCAAAGGATATGAACAAGTAGTTTCAAAAAAAGAAATAAATGCTTCTGTAGTCATATAAAAATGCTCTAAATCACTATTGATTAGAGAAATGCAAACTAAAACAACTCTGAGGTACCACCTCATATCTATCAGATTGGCTAACATGACAAAAAAAAGAAAATGGCAAATGTTGGAGTTGTGGAAAAATTCAGACACTAATGCACTGTTGTTGCAGTTGGAACTGATCCAACCATTCTGAAGAGTGATTTGGAACTTTGCCCAAGGGGCTATAAAACTGTGCATGCCCTTTGACCTAGCAATATCACTACTATCTCTGAATCCCAAAGAGATTGAAGAAAAAGGAAAAGGACCTATATGTACAAAAATCTTTATAGCAGCTCTTTTTTGTGGTGGCAAAGAATTGGAAATTGAGGGGATGCCCATCAGTTCGGAAAAGGCTGAAGAAATTGTGGCATATGATTATGATGGAATGTTATTGTGCTATAAGAAATGACAAGCAGGATGCTTTCAGAAAAGCCTGGGAAGACTTATATGAACTTATGCAAAGCTAAGTGAGCAGAACCAGGAAAATATTGAACAGTAACAGCAATATTGTACACAGATCAACTGTGAATGATTAAGCTATTCTTAGCAATATAATGATTGAAGACAATTCCAAAGGATTTATGATGAAAAATGCTATCTACCTCCAAAGAAATAACTGATGGAGTCTGAATGCAGATTGAAGCATCCTTTTTAAACTTTATTTATTTTTGGTTTTTTTGGAGGGGGTTTATTTTCTTTTGCAAATATGGAAATATGTTTTGCATAATTATATAATCGATATCAAAATGCTTGCCTTCTCCATGAAGGGAGAAGGATGGGAAGAAGGGAAAGAATTTAAAACCCAACATTTTAAAAAAGAATATTAAATTTTTTTTACATGTAATTGAGAAAAAAAAGAGAGAGAAAACCTCAAAACAATGTCATGCTGATATGAAAGATAGTAAGCCAAAGAAAATTTAATAAGGTACCATTTTAAAGGCTAGTGAAAAGTAACAGAAACTAGGATTATTCCGTGGACAGTATATTATGTAATGAATCTGGGGTAAAGGTTGCCAAAATTTCCAGGTACTCTAGATTCCCATCTAGAATTAAAGAGCTGTCTTCTATTCACTGCATGCTTCAACTTCACAGCTTGTAACAGCTTAATAAATAACAAATGCTTGTGTCTGGGGATTTTGAGCTATTTTAATTAAAAAAAAAAGCAAACAACTTTGTCATTTTGATAGCCTTAATGGATTTTAGTAAAAGTTTTTGTTTAGTGCTTTTATACAAAAAAATGACAGATAGTTGAAGCAAATTATTTCTTGAGGAAAGTCCAAATTAAAAAAAATATTGAACTGAACTTTCATTGCACTTTGGCCTACCTCTAGTGTATTCATCATTCTGTTTTATATTAGCTATTTATATAAGGGTCTTGTCTCCCCTACTAGACCATAAGTAAGGCCTATGTCTATTTGTCCTAGGGTCTTATGCATAGTCCTAGTAGACACTTCATGTTTGACTGTCTTACAGCTGAAGTATTTCAACTGGCAAATATTTGTTATGGCTTTAGAATCAACCTCATGAAAATTTCCATTTCTTCTTTTCCTTCCCCCCGCCTCAACTCCTGCTCCAACTGAATCATCCCATAATTGATGAACATATGTGGGGAGCTATTGATAGTTCCTAGGAAGGACCAGCACAACAAAAATGTTTGTCTTAAAAAATGTATTACAGCAAACATAACTTTGTCAGCCTTTGGTGGTTAATAACTGCCTTTATTCCTAATTCCTAATGCCTAATTCCTAAAGGTAATTGAGGCCTTACCTATGGTAGCTCAAATCAAGCAGGTTTGCTCAGTTGCTATTCTTTTTTCCTCTTTAATATATAGACTTTCCTTCTGATTTCCTTATTCTGTGGATGGTTTGGAACCTCAAAGTCCACTTTGGATATATGGGGAAAATAAATCAGTTACTGAGTCCTGTTAATTCTACAATTCTAACTCTATGATCTCTCTCTCTCTCTCTCTCTTTGTCATCTATCTTTTCCTTGCCACCCTGATTCAGTCTCTTTTCAACTCTCACTTTGCTTGTCATAGATTTTCTGACTGATTTCCATGGTTCCAGTAATCACCAATCTGTCCACATAACTGCCAAATGTCTTTCTAATTCATAGATTTGACAAAGGACTGTCCTGCTCTAGGTGGTGCCCCCAATGCTTGCTTCTGGAAGACAAGGCTGTTTGATTTTTGTCTTTATATCCTCAATGCCTAGTACATAGTAGACACAATCAGTGCTTATTGAATTGAATAAAGGATGCATAAAGCCTTCTACAATCTAGCTTGAATCTACCTTTCTAACCTTATTTCACATTGCTTCCCTTCATGCATTACATAGGAATAGAGATAAAGAGATTGTTTGGTTATTCTCCAACCAAGCCATGCCTTTTTTGACCTGTGTATCCCTCAAACAATGTGCATTTATATATGCTTGCTTGGTCATCTTTTTCTTGAAAATTGAGGTCAGATGTTGTTTTTTCTTTTCCTTTTCCTTTCATTTTCTTCCCATCTGAGGTCTTGTGCCTTAATATCTTTTATTGACTGGCACATAGTAGGTGATTAATAAATGCTTATTGACATGAATTAACTCATTCTTTTGTCTAGACTTCTCCTTTACCCCTATTATATTCATACTTTTTTTTTTTGGTTTATGTCATACTCCTCCCTAAGTTATCTACCTGCTTATAATATAAATAATGACCATCCTTTGGAATAGGTCAGTTATGGAGTCTTTTCAATGTAGCTTTTCTCTAAAAAACATAATTTAAAAGAAAAATTAAATTTGTGTATGAAAGATAGTGCTCCAGAATCACCTGTGTTTCCTGGTTTTGAGCTCAGTCACAGCTGCTGGGAAGCTGTTCAAACATTGTTCTGTGTTGTACTGAGTTGTGAGGTTAGTCTCTTTTCCCCCATGGCTGGCATTTATATCCTCCAATTATAGTACTGAGTAAGTGGAGCTCTCCAGTCTCTGGTATTGCCATATATAGTAACTGATATCATTGCAGACTCAGACATTCCAGGCTTTCTAGAGAGCAGGAGGAGGCCACCCCTTATAAGGGATTCAGATAATCTATGGAGTTGTGGTTGGTAGAAGACTATGGTGCCCTGTGAGCCACTTTCCGGCACTTTAAAAGCAAATAAGTTGTAAGTAACTTAATTGATGTGTCCAAAAAAGTATTCTTCTGTGATTCTTTTAATACATCAAACAGAGCCAATCTCTAAAATTTGCTATCTAAAAAAATGTTTTTTTGGATTGTTGATAGATTTGGTCACCAAACTGAACTTGGCTCTGGCAAAAATGTCTCTTGATAAAAAAAAAAAGGGTTGTGAGTTGGACAAATTAGAGATGTCTTCTGATATAGATGAAAGAGTTAGAGCTACAAGGGAACTTAAAGGCTATCTGGTCCTACCCCTTCATCTTACAAATGAAGAAACTGAGGCCCACAGGGGCAAAATGACTTGCCTAGAGACAAACCTAGTTTATTTCATGAGGTGGGATTTGAACCAAGATCTTTTTGGTTTTAGGTTCAGTACTTCCTCTGCTACAAAATCCTCTTTTTCAAAAAATATTCAGCTTTTCCCCTGTATCTGAGGACTATATGAGATAATATGAAAGGATGTCTTTGAATGGGACTATGTAGATGATTATTTAATTATTTTCCATCTATGAAAAAGACTGGACCTTTTTATGATCTTGCAGAAAATTGTAGGTTCTTAAGGGGCAGTAATAGAATTATAATTCTGTGTAACTTTATCAGCCTGCTCCTTCCCCCTCTCCCCCAACTCTACCTATGTTTCTGGAGCTGTATTACAATCATAAATACCATCTGAAAAGTCTGTAATATCTGTAAGGTCAAATCTGATGCTTTGTCTCTGGTTGACCTTATCTATTACCTACAATTTATGCATTTGTGTATAGACATCTGATGTCATTTTTTTTGGTTGGATTTTGTTGTTGTTGTCGGCCGCCTGTATTTTGTGTCCTGTGGATTTCTAGAATTCTTTACTGCTATCCTTCCTAGGTTGGAATTGTTACTCAATAGTATATGGTTTGGTACATAAAAGTAGCTTTCCCCCAACCTCCTCCTCTCCCTCCTTCCCTCCCCTTCTTTTCCACCTAAAACCCTCTTCACTACTCACAAGACTTGAGGCAGATATTTTTAACCAACTCTCATTAGATACACTCTAATCTTGGCCAAGAGCCCGTTATTCTTGTCTATCATGGTACAGAAATTCAAATCCCATTCTCAGACATCATTTCTTTAACCCTCTGTTCCATTCTTGAATCTACCTTTCTCTTCCAAAACCTTTTCTCCACTCCCCGCGACCCCCCATCAGCAGTAGCAATGAAAATACCACCTGTGTTTCTAAGGTTCAGTTTCTTACCCAGGATTTCTAGGTGCTTTCTTGTGGGGATGAATGATAGCAGCAGAAATGTAGGCGTAATCAGGTTTGACAAGTTCTGGGCACAATCATGCCCCAGGTACAGGTGAAGACAACAGACATTTCTCCGGTACTAGTTACTATCAGGTCAACAAGTAACTGCCTCAGTACCCTTTAGTATGTAGTCCACCATTATTTCTCCCTTTTGTTCTTATGAGACGAGCTACCTGGTTGCTATTTGTTTCTATGCCAACATTCTTTTGAGCAGTGGTCTCCAAATTGTTATGATTACATACCCTTATCAGTAAATCTTTTAATATTCTGTCCCAATAAATGTCTATTTTAAATCTATGTAATTGTATTAATATATTTTAATTTTAAATAGTATACAAAATTGAAGTTGAAAGGATACAAGATATACAAGACTTCTAAAAATCTATTGCACCAAGAACTTTTTTTTGCTTTGATGAGCAATGTGATTGAATGTTTATTTATTTTTATTTTATTTTTATATTTCCTTTCATTACTCTATCCTTCCCACTACCCGCATCAAACATTTTTAAATACCCCAAAACAAATCCCCAATACATACCTATATAGTCCATCAAAACAAATGCCCACATTAACCATGTCTAAAAATGTATGTCTCTTTCTAAATTTTAAGATCATCACTTCTCTTTCAGGAGTTGACTGGTACATTTCATCTTCATCTTTTGAACTTGTGTTTTATCACTGGGGTGATCATAGTTCTAAAGCCTTTCAAAGGCCTGCACAACATATGGCTGCTTGCAGCCCACCAAAGAATTTTAGCGGCCTGCAAAAAATGTAGGGTTGCCACCGCTCACTCTCTTGTTTGTCACGTGACCTGCAGCAACCAATTACTATCGGTCTATCTCTAGTCTAACCTACTGTGGCCTGCAGGAGTTTACAAGTTGTGCAAGTCTGCTCTGTAATGTTGTTATCACTGTTTAATTGTTTTCTTAGCCTTGCACACTCTGCTCTGTATCAGTTCAGAGAGGTCTTTGTCCTCTGAAATTGTCCATTTCATCTTTTCTTACGGCACAATAATATTTTATTATATGGATATGCCAAAATTCATTTAGACGTTCCCCAATAGGACATCCCTTTAAGTTTCCAGTTTTTGGTTACCATGTTTTGTACATATAGAACCTTTTCCTCTTTCTCTGCCTGGAAGTTTTCATAGTTCCAAAGTGCTTTCCAGAATGGCTATACCAATTCATAGCTCCACCAACAATGTACTAATGTAAATGTTTTCCCTTATCCCCTCCAACATTTGTCATTTTCCTATTTTGTCATCTTTGTCAATGTGACAAATAGAAAGTGTAATCTCCAAGTTGCTTTAATTTGTATTTCTCTAATTATTAGTGGTTTAGGGTATATTTTCTCATGATTATTGAAAGCTTAGATTTCTTCCCTTGGGAACTGTTCATAACTTTTGAGCATTTATCTATTGGGGAATGGCTTTTAGTCTTTTATAAATTTGAATTTGTTCCTATCTTAGAAAGGAGACTGGTATCGGAGAAACTCATTGCAAAGATTTTTTTTCCCCCAGTCACCTGTTTTTCTTCTAATTTTTACTATATTAGATTTATTTATGCAAAAACTTTAAAAGTTTTATATAATCAAAATAGTGTGCTAGTATGATTGTTTGCTTCTGGATCTTATATGCAATTTTCCTGATATCAGTTTTCCTACTGTTTTTCAAACTGGTATGAAAAATCTTGTTGATCACTGCTTTGCAGTGTAGATCTATCCCCCTTTCTTTTTACCTTTTCATTATTTTTTTTAAGAGTGCTGACATTTTTGTTTTTCCCATATGAATCTGTGTGTGTGTGTGTGTGTGTGTGTGTGTGTGTGTGTGCGTGTTTTGGTTCGTTCTAGTTCTGTAAAGTAACCTTATGGTAAGTTGGAATGGCACTGAATAGGTTAGGTAATATTGTCTTTTTTATATTGATATGGCCCAACCATAAGCAATTAATGTTTTTCTCCTTTTTACATCTGTCTTTTTCTGTAGAGACTGTTCTGTAGTTGTATTCCTATAATCCCAATTTGTACCTTGGTAGGTCTGCTCTTGAATACACATTCTATCTCTATTCTCTAGGTAGAATAAAACATTGTATAGTTATTTTGAATGGAATTCCGTTCTATATCTTCCTGTTGGACTTTGTTGCCAAAATAAAGAAAAGAAGTAGATTTATTTTATATCCTGTTACTTATTATCTATGTGACCCTGGGCAAGTCACTTAACCCTTTTGCCTCAGTTTCTTCATCTGTAAAATGAGTTAGAGAAGAAAATGGCAAACTACTCCAGTATCTTTGACCAGAAGACCCCAAATGGGATCATGAAGAGTCAGACATGACTAAAAATGACTGAAAAAAACTTCAGTTATTATTTTGACTACTTTTCAGTTAAATCTTTAGCTTCTCTAATTAGAACATCATATGTAAGAATCATTTTAAATACCAAATAGAGGGGTTTATATTTGATTCTAGAGTCAACAGGGAGCCAATGGAGTCTGAGGAGGGGAGTTACATGGTTATGGAGTTATGTGGAAGTTGTTTGGGTAGTTGAGAGACTTGAGGCAGGGAGATCACTTAGTCTACTGCAATAGCATAGGTGAAAAGTAACCAGAGCCTGAGCTATGGTGTTATGGAGATTAGAAAGATGAGACTTGGAAATTACTTGGATGTGAGGGGTAAGTGAGGAATCAAGAATGACACCCAGGTAACTAGAGGGATGGTGGTAACTTCAAAAGAAAGAAGGAAGTTCAGAAAAGCAAGATTTGGGGGAAAGATAATGTAAGGCAATATACAGTATAGATTGCAACCTACATGTTCATCCTGTCAGTAAAACACACAGGGGACTCTTAACAGTTGCTACCACAAGATCCCAATGCATGAGCTCTGAAGGTCACCTGCTGTAACCATAAGATAACCTGAAGAGGGAATGAGATTAATGTTCAGGGAATGGAGAATTTTCCCTGTGGCATCTTCAGAATTGTTGCTGTGGATGCCAAGCTTGGGATGAGGTTATAACTACTTTGATGGGTCCAAGGATCAGCAAAGAAAGGGAAAGATTGGGAGCCTGCCTAGCAGGGGAAGAAAGAAGGTGAAGGAAAAGGTGAGCGTGCATGAATGTGGACAATAATTAAATGAAGAGTATATGTGGTTGTATTGGAGACAAGTATCATAATTGATTATGGGGAAGGGTATGCTGGTAAATATTTAACAACCAGCTGAGGGGGAGAGGAGGACCTCTACCCACAACATACTTTTAAAATTTATTTTCATTATTAATATTTGCTCTGCTTCTTTAAGTCTGGACAGTCAATAAAAATGATATCCCAAGTCCTAATTTGTAGTGTTTGCCGAGTTTTGAGATGCAAGTACTCACACTAAAAGTTTAAGGATTGGCTCTCAGATTGGTACAAGTTGGCTTCTGCATACTTCAAGATGGAATCCATCTTCTCACCCTCAAGTTATAATCAAACTGTTGCCCAGGAACCTACAGCAGCTATAGATGGTGGACAGCTCTCCAGGAGAGTAGCTAATTGTCTTAACCTAGCTGAGTGAAATTTGGGGGGGGGTCTCAGTTGCATTATAAAGGAGGGAGAGGCAATCTCTCTTATATGCCAATTATGTTTTTAAGGGGAAGAGCCCCTCATTCTAGTTAGCCTCTAGGGTACCACTACCCTAGTCATCTGGGTATTTATATTAGCCATTACTCATCACCTTCTCCCATCTCACATCACTCAGTTCCCGAATCTTTTTATTGAGATTAAAACAATATCTCTCCACTCAGTTGGCACCTCTCACTCGGCCTTTTGTAATAGTCTCCTAATTCAAGAGTTTTAAACCTGGAGTCCATTGATTCAGGGGGCATCTAGTAAACTGGGTCGGAAAAATTACATTTTTTTCACTAACTTTTAAATGAAATTTAGCATTTCCTTCAATACTTTTACTTTATTTTATTTTTTTGGCTAGGCAATGGGGTTAAGTGACTTGCCCAGGGTCACACAGCTAGTAAGTGTTATGTGTCTGAGGCTGGATTGAACTCAGGTCCTCCTAAATCCAGGGTTAGTGCTCTATCCATTGCGCCACCTAGCTGCCCCCCCTTTGATATTTTTAAAAGTATTCTGAAGACTGCACCACAGGCTTTACCTGATTGCCAAAATGGTCCATGACAAAACCCTATCCTAATTGGTGTCCCATACACTGTTGCCAAATATTCCTCATATGGAATTCTGACCAGATTATTGCTCCACTCAATAAATTCCAATGGCCCCAATTGACTCTTTTTTTTGCTGTTGCTGAGTTGTTTCAGTTGTGTCCTACTCTTTGTGATCCCATTTGGGGTTTTCTTGGGAAAGATACTGGAGTGGTTTGTCATTTCCTTCTCCAGCTCATTTGTCACATTTGAACTCAGGAAGATGAGTCTTCCTGACTCCAGGCGCAGCACTCTATCCGCTGCATCACCTAGCTGCCCCTATTGACTCTAGGATCAAATATTATTATTTAATTTTTAAAATTGCATTCTTTCAATATTTACTTTTGTGTACGTTTTATGATATATATAATATAACAGTAAATATGCCTTATAAATAAGCAAATATCTTTATTAGGAGTGCATGATCTAAAAAGTTTGGAAACCACTGTTGTTGCCTCCATACTCATATGTATGATTTAGTGGAGGTAGGCCAGGATTTTCTACCTGTGTCTTCAGAGTCAGTGTGTTAGAGTAGAAAGAGCACTAGCTCAGAGGTTCTGTGTTCAAATCCAACCTTTGACACATAACCTGTGTGACCTTGAGGAAAGCCATTTAATCTCCCTGTGTCTCAACAACCTTAATTGTCAAGAGGAGGTTCCTTACTTCCACCTCTTAGGAGCCCTACTTTTCATCAAGATTCTGCTTTTGTGCCGCCTTCTGTATGGAGCCTTTCCCAACCCCTTCCCCTCAAATTCCCCTCAAAAAATTCTATCTTGTGTATATTTTGCACATATCTTTATATATACATATCAGCTAGTAGTCAGCATTTATATAGCCCTTTTAGGGTTGCAAAGTATTGTTTCATTTTAGCCTCACAATAGTCCTGGGGGGTAGGTGCTATTATTATTCCCATTTTAGAGATGAGAAAACGGAGGCAAACAGAAGTGAAGTGACTTCCCCAGGCTTACACAGCCAGTAAGTGTCTGAAGATGGATTTGAACTAAGGTCTTCCTAACTCCAGCCATAGCACTCTTTTTAAAAATTTATTATTATTATTATTACTATTATTTTTATTTTGCAAGGCAGTTGGGCTTAAATGACTTGCCCAGCATCACACAGCTAGTAAGTATTATGTGTCTGAGGTCACATTTGAATTCAGGTCTTCCTGACTACAGGCTTGGTGCTATATCCACTGGGCCACCTAGCTGCCCCAAAAATATGGAACGTTTCAAGAATTTGTGTGTCATCCTTGCGCATGGGCCAAGCTAATTTTCTCTGTGTCATTCCAATTTTAGTGTATGTGCTGCCAAAGTGAACACCAGCCCCAGCACTCTTATCCCCTGAGCCAGTTAGGTGCCATCGATGTTGACTCCACCAATGGAATGAAAATCTGTTGAAGGCAAGAAACTGTTTCACTTTTGTTTTTGTGTACGCAACACCTAGCACAGTGCCTGGAAAGCAGAAGATGCTTAATAAGTGCTTGTTGATCTGGCTTTTAGGTTGTGGAATGAATAGAGTGTTGGACTTGGGAGTCTGGAAGACTTGAATTCAAGTCCTGCCATAGGTACTTACTAGCTGTGATTCTGGGCAAGTCACTTCACTTATCTACCTCTGTTTCCTCATCTTTAAAATGGGAATGATAGTAGCACTTGCCTCTCAGGGCCATTGTGAGGATCAAGTGAGATACCATGACCAATGCTTTGCAAACTTTTTGTTGTTTAGTCATTTTTCAGTCGTGTCCAACTCTTTGTGACCTCATTTGGGGTTTTCTTGGCAAAGATACTGGAATGCCTTGCCATTTCCTTTTCCAGTTTATTTTGAAGATGAAGAAACTGAGGCAAACAGGGTTAAGTGACTTAACCAGGGTCACACAGCTAAGTGTTTGAGATCAGATTTGAACTCAGGAAGATGACTCTTCCTGACTCTAGGCCCTATCTGAGGTGTCACCTAGCTGCCCTTGCAAACTTTAAAGTGCTACATAAATGTTAGCTATTTTTCCACCACCTCTATGATTTTATCTTGAAATATTCCTTCCTTTATTTCAAGGTCTAGCAAGTAAAGAAGCACCCCATGAGCCCTTCCACATACTGAAAGAGGGAAACTAATAGAACTTTGTGCCTCCCTAGGTGTTAGTTGGAAGACATACAAACAGCTCCATCACAACATTGTTTCCCCTTGACTTCAATACTCAGTAGCAGTGAGATCCTCGGTTCTTGATGGCTTCTCATGGCCAACTCTTGTGGTGAGTTACTGTGGCAAATTGCCAGTTGGACATGCCCATCAGGCTTCCTGAATGAGGCTTTATTTTTAGCGGTCATCTTGCCTTTCGTGGGGAAATGGCTAAGTTGTTCAACTATCTTTGGCAATTAACAGTTTCCTGCCGAAGACCCAATGGAATGGCTGCAAACAGAAACTGAACAGAACAGACAGAAGAGGGAAGAGTTCGCCCAACTCTCGCAAAGGCCTGCCGTACTTCCCCCTCTGCCTCCTCCTCCCTGGTTCACTTCTGAAACTGTGGAGAGTTTTCAAGGATAATTTAATTATCAGTCACTTTGCACCTCTTCTATCAACTTCCCAACAGATCTTGCAAGTCTCCTGCTGAACTGGGACAAAGGTGTTACAGGAAGGGGAAAGCTACTGACAGCAGGCAGGTGGAGGACTCACTGGAACCAATGTGGGACAATGGGAATAGATGCATGAAGGGGTAGGTTTAAAAGCCTGGTTTGCTGATAGCAGATCACTTGAAAAATTGGCTTAAGTTAACCAGTGGCTGCCATGGTACAGTGGAACAATAGTAATAATAATAATTACTAACATTTATTTATCACTTAGTATATGCCAGGCTCTCTGTTAAGTGCTTTACAATTATCATCTCATTTGATTATCACAACTCTAAAAGGGAGGTGCCACTATTATTCCCCTTTAACAGATGAAGAAACTGAGGCAAATAGAGGTTAAGTGATTTCATTATCCAGGGTCACGTGGCTAGTAAAGTGTCCAAGGTTGGATTTGATCTGAGGTCTGGAAGACCTCATCTTTATCATCTAAGGTCAGAGACCAGGATTCAAATAATTTCTATGCTAGTTATGAACTCTGTGATCCTAAAAACTATTTAACTTCTTACAGCCTCAGTTACCACATCTGTAAAATAGGGACAAGGATACTTAAACTGTTGTCAGCCCAGACCAAATGACCAAAGAGCCACAGCGGCTCTGCAACTTCTGTTAACTCTAAACAAAATCAGAGAGCTCACACGGGTTTATCAAAACCACAGTTAACTCTAAAAATAAAACAAAACAAAACAAAATAAAACCAAAGAGCTAATAGTGGTTATAAGCAAAAAGCTTTCTTTATTCCACTGGAGGGAAACTAGACATGTATATGCTGCCCATCCTCTTCCCCCCAGCCCCAGTAGGAGACCCTCTTCAGGAGACCCAATACTCACACCCATGGCTATGCAGTGAGCTGTAGCCCTGACAGGGAGAGGTAACGGTAACAATGTGACAAGTCTGATTCATAACAGGACATGACCAGAACACAGGTACCACAGGTACTTGTCCAAGCTCAGGGGCCACCTGGTGCTGGTATGAAACAATTCTGGGATTTTGCTATGGCTGAGATCATCCAGAGCAGGCCTGCACAACCAAAAATGTAAAGGTTTCCTCATTTTTTGTGGACCGCCGGCAATCCTTTGGCAGGCTGTAGGTTATGCAGGCCTGATCCAGAAGGGAAGCCAAAAAGGATTATTGTTATACCAGACTCAGGACACAGCTTGCTTGCTGGGCCTTAGCTCTGGAAAATGTGATATATCCTAGTAGTAAAAAGAGAAGGGTGATTTTGGCATGGGGATCCTGACATTTCCCCCTTTTGGCCAAAGAGAGGGGATCTAAAAGATCCCCCTTCTTTCAGACCCCCCTCCCATTCTGGCCAATAAAGAAGAGGAAGGTATAAGCCAAGATATCAGGAGAGGTCAGGTGGACTAGGATGAGATGTTGAGTTGAGAGACAGCTGTAGGCTTAGGTTGGTGAGCTTAGGGGTTAAGGTGGCAGATCTAACGATTTGTTATTCCCTCCCCTTAGCAATGATGGAATGGCATTTTAATCTGAGGAGGTAAGAGTCTTGAGGGGACCTATCAGTGAAGTGTGTTCCAGGTACTAGGGCCAAGAATGTAGAGGAGGAAAAAGACAAAACAAAACAAACCTAGTACGGTATATTCAGCCCCCATACGGAATCTTTGGACAGCTGTCTCATCTAGATGTCAGCTGCTTCGGGGTATGTACTAGACAAACCTTGAGATTCCTGAAGGGTTTTGCCATTCACTTAGGAGGGAGGGCTTTCTTCAGATGATCCAGGAGTCTACATCCAGAAGTTTGGCAGCTGTGGGAGTAGTCAGAAGGAGCTGGTAGGGGCTCTTAGAAACAATGATTGATTGATCAGTGTGGGGCCAGTTTTCAGAAAAGACATATGGGTTGCTTGAGATAGACAATTGTGAGAAAACTCCTTGCATCAATCTTTGGATCTCAGTTTCTTGTCAGTGTAACACAGGTCCTTGATTAAGAGTCTTCAAACAGCACATGGAGATGGTCCAGTTTCCCAGCCATGCAAGGCTAGGTTCAAACAATGCAATAAAATTTTCTCCCAATTCCCACAATTGAATAAAATTTTCTCACAAGACAGAAGTTGGACTACACACATAATTGAAAGTTCTAGTATTGAGTCACAAGACAGAGTGAATATGGTTCACTCAATTCCCACTATTAATCATTTGCAGTCCTAAATTCCCTCAATCCTCTGCAAGCCAAATCTATAAGGTTTTTCATAAATTCATAATTATATTCATAGTTCTTTCATACACATTTTCATTGTCATTGGTCAAAGATCTCACCCTTAGACTCATACTTAAATGGATCTCTGATCTTAACATCTGAATGAGATTGCAATCCATCCTATGCAGCTGTTGTCCATGTTCCCTTATGATTCTGGATTATGGCCCTGTGCTATGGGTCTTGTTACTTTTTCCTGACATTATATACAAGTGGAGTACTGGGGATGTCTACCTGTTACCGATGATCAACCCATATTTTCCCCCCACAATATACCCTGATGATTTTTTTTATTACAGTTCTTTAGTCACTTTTTATATTGCAGCCCACTCATACATACCAAGTACCTCTTCATTGCTTTCTATGTGATATTCGTTAATGTCTATTGCCAATGCTATTAACCAAGCAAGATTTTGTGTGTGTGTGTGTGTGTGTGTGTGTGTGTGTGTGGTGTGTGTACAAAATCCAGCATAGACAGTGTAAGTACACAGTGAGTTGGGCTCATAATTAAATAAAAGGAGAAGAGGCTGGATTGCCTACAGGAAAATTGCAAAGTATCTTTAATAATCCCAAATATTTTCCTGAAACAGTGGTCCATTTTAATATCATTTTTTGGTACTAGTGTCTGACTGCTGGTTGTACATACAACACATTTGGACCGATGACAGTTTAATGAACCCAGGCCCTAGTTCCTGAGGAAGTTCATTCATTTGTCTTTGGAGCTTTGACTCTAAGGCCCATCCCACTTAATGATATATATAAACTAACCTACTTATCTCCCTATGTCTATTGGGCAGCCTTACACATGAAAATATGCTTTAGTTTCCCATCCAGCTTGCCACAGTTAGCATCCCTAGTTACCTCTCCCCTGTGTGTATTATCTTCTATTAGAATATAAATTTCTTGAAGGCATTTAGGGTGGGGCAGCTAGGTGGCATAGTCAATAGAGTGCCAGATCAGAGGTCAACAAGACTCATTTTCCTGAGTTCAAATCTGGCCTCAGACACTTACTAGCTATGTGACCCTGGGCAAGTCACTTAACTCTGTTTGCCTCAGTTTCCTCCTCTGTAAAATGAGCTGGAGAAGGAAATAGCAAATCACTCCACTGTCTTTGCCAAGAAAACCCCAAGGGTTCACCAAGGGTTAGACACAACTGAACAACAAAATCTTTTTTTATAAAAACTTTTATTTCCCTAAGTGCCAAGTATGTGATAAAAACTTAACAAAAACTTTTTTTTCATTCAATTCATTCCTCTATTAGTATTCTTCAAAACTAAATGATTCTTAATACTAAATGATGTCTTTCTATAGCCAGAATTGTCAAACCATTCAATAAGCATTTATTAAGCACCCACTATGTCCTGGGCACTCTGCTAGGTATTGGGAATACAAAGACAAACAAAAAAGTTCCTACTCTCAAGATACTTGTATTCTACTGGGAGTGGATAATACATGTATAAGTGTATATGAAATAAATACTAGGTTGTTTGGGAGGG